GCCTTTTCCCTCCCAGCCTCACGGGGATCTTGTTTTATGAACATTGTTTGTTTCGCACGTGCTTGTTGTTTGTATTTTCCACAAACAAGCAAAATTAACAGGTTTTAAAGCACAACTGTAGATTTTACAGTAATTTTACTGCATAATGCCACGTTACCTTCTCACTGGACGAATTTTGCATGAAACCAGCTAATTAGAAAAACCAGTCAGCTTCAGCTTAAAGAACATTTTTCCCCCAAATGGTTCAGTATCTTATTTTTTCACCATATTTGACATCTTTGCAACAATATATGATGAAATATAAGATAAATATGCTTTGGTTGAACATACTCAAATTTGTTATTGCACTCAGGCAACACGTAATTTTCCCATCTTAAAAATTTTGTCTTATTTGTTGTCACAGTTGTCTCTCTCTCTGTCTGTGTGTGTGTGTGTCCATGTGTGTCTTTTTAGTATCTTTGTTTTTTGTATTTCGCATTAAAATGATTAATAAACTTGAACTTGACACACAGTTTACAGCCTAAGTTAGCAGGACTTTCAGGAATTACTTCCCTATAGCCAGTTTTACTTATTATGAAACAATGTAATTACATTGAGTCTACAGCCATGTTCAAAGCTATGTATGACCGAGTGGTGCGTTGAGCCCAATATTGTCACTAACATCCATATTTTTAACCAGGTTAATGATAATCACTGAAAATATAAATCTTCTATAATAATATAAAGTTAGTTTAACAAGCCCAAGATGTGTGTGTGTGTCAGTGTTTTTGGCACTACATGCATCATTGTGTGGACCTTCGTTAGAGATCATTTGGTTTTTTGGTGCAGTGGGCCTCACTAAGCTTTGGCTGTGCAGTGAACCAAACCAGGGACTGAGATTACTATTGAATGTGTGGCCATAAATGCACGGGATTCCACCTCATCAAAGTTTGCACAGATAATTGCTACTATTTGATCTCCACTATCTGAAAAGACACCGTGTTAATTAGAGGCTTTGATTGAGACGGGAAGAGAAGAGAAACAAATGTGTGCTTTGTTGTCCTGTAGAAATCTCTCCTCTCAGGGGTTTATGTATCTGCAGAGCTGGAAGGCTTTTGTCGCCAAAAACTTTGATGAGGTCCTTGTTTCAGGACCGGTCCCATCCCTGTCTTTGGGAAAACATCCAACTGCCAACTCATCAAGCATCCCGGAGAGCTAAAACAATGCCCAGCATTGAAGACTTGAGATTGGCAGTTTGAAATCCTTTGCTCTGATCTGTAATACGCCTTTAAACTAATGGAAGCATAGTTATGTCCCCGAGATACATCTTGTTGTTTTCAAAACAGTTGTGACAAAATCACTTTATTTTAAAAAAACAAAACCAGTCACAGAGAGTTTTTATTTATTCTTCTTTGACTTGAACCTGATGTAGAACACCGAGTTTAGTTAATGGGAAACAACCAGTCTGTTTGCTAAATGCATCCATTGAACAAAATCATTGGAGCCTAAGGCAGTCCCCAGAATCATGTGATCACTTATTAGAGACTCTTAAGTGGTGCTTGTAAAGCTGAGAGCTTTCTGAACTGTAACTGAAACAAGTTTGATGGTTTTTTTTTAACCAATAAGGATGTTTCTATTTTCTTTGATTAACAGTCATGACAGTCATAGCACCAAAAATGTTGGCTCCTCATCCGGTTGATCACTTTAATAAGACCTCCCTGCAGTCTGAAAATGAACTCTATTCAGGGGAAAAAAACAAAGACAAAAAAAATCTCCTCACTCTTTGTCAAATAACAGTTGAAGATGGTTAATCCACATAAATGGCAGCACCTTCATCATCAGCACAATAGTACACCGTTTTCTTTGAAAGCCTTGTTGTCAAGCATTTTATGTTTCATTTCTTTAGTTTCTAATGATGTAAAATGGCCTAAAAAAAAACTTGAACCACATATATTTTTAACACTCCATTAAAAAAATCATCCACACCAGGTATGAATCATGTAGGTTGTACACTATCCCACCCTGTAAACACAGGCATGCACTTAATTCCTGGATTACAATAATAAAAATAATTTTTTTAAAAAAGAGATCAATATTTAGCCCTCTTCTTGCTGTTATTACTGGAAACAGAATAACTCTTTGTTTGCTGGAAACCTGATTCAATAAGTCAGCCTGAGTAGCGCAGATGCTTCTATATACGATTTATAATAGGAGAAGAGCTTACAATTAAAATTGTGTTCAGATTAAATTAAATCTTTCTGTGTGTTTGTTTCTGATTTGTCTTTGTGTTTCGATCGCTCTCTGCTTATAAAGTATCAATTCTCACCATATACTGGATTAATAAATATATTAACACAGCACATGAAAGTAACTCTTGGTTAACAAGCCAAGTCATTTAATTTTTTTTTAAATAAATATTTATCAGTGAATGCATTCGGGCTGATTTCTATAAGGAGCGAACGTTTGGAGCTGTCCATGCCAGCAGCTGAAGAGATAAACTTCAATTTTAAACAACTAAAACTGTATAAGCTTATATAAAATGTATGTTGCATAAATGTGTGCATTTCATCGCTTAAAGAACTGCAACAGAATAAAGGGAAATCATGAACTCTGGACCCCTTCAGTGAGGCCATCGCTCTGCTTTACTGTGGTTGACTTGGTGGGTGTTCTCTCTGAGTGATGAACTTTATGGTGAATCTTCATGCGACTGGTCTCTCACACCATGAAGGCGCAAGTGGTGTGCTGAGTATTAAAACAATGTGAATTATTTAAGCCCTTTGGGAGTTTTTGGACTGGTGTCTTTGACAGTGCTCTTTTACTGCCTGTCAGAATCAGTGCCATACGGAGACATAGACATGACAAGGCCCAGCGGCTTACTAAAACACCTTATGTTGGTTCTTTCTTTCAACATGGAGACTAGCTGAGAGAGGATGCAGAATCACCGTCCACATTTGTATTCAACTATTAAGAATAAGCACAGGAAATGTGCACAGGAACTTTGTTATGAGCATAATCATCGAGGTGTTCTCTCTGACAGTGAGGACAGCCAGGATCAGTCAGGGCAGGTTTACTGATTCCTCTGTGAAGCACTTCGTGTTTGGTCTTAAAAGACACTATGAAAAAATTTTACTTACTTAATTACTTTGAGAGATTTTAGTTTTCTGTTGATAATCACAGTGACAGCACTATATGTATCATGATGTCATTGCATAACTGTAGACCTCCACCACACAGTTTAGTTAGTTTAAACTAGCATCAAGAGTTAGGTTTGATCGTGTATGTATATTTGTTCCCACAAGACAAAAATTCAGGCCACTGAGGATATTTCACTTTAAGTGAGATAAATGAATAGTCAGACTCTTTCATCACCCTGTTCATCAGCTATGTGGTGCGATTTCCCTCTTCTATTAAAATCAAAAGACTGAACAACAATAGAAAATACTTTTTCTAATTATTTGACGCTAAGGCTTATTTAGCTACTAATAGGGAACTTGTAGTACCACAGCAGCTCCTTAAATTTGCCGCTGAGTATCACTGATGAGGCCAGAAGCAGAGAATGCCTAAAACAAACTGTAGAGGGGCTTCAGCAAAACAGCCAGAGGCTTAAGATATATTAAATTACCATGATTGGGACTTAAAGCATGGTTAAAGCCCGTTTGAGAGGCTGGGGAGCCTCAAAGCAGTCCCATTCATTGCTGGGGAGTTGGGTCAATAGGTTGGGGAACTTCACAGGACCAGATTTTATTCTTATGCAAACGAGGGGAACAAGACCTAAAGTTCACTGAGTTGGAAGATATAAATGACTGGACAATCATCTGCAGCCCTCCACAGACACAAGCTGGGACCACAGCTGTGTGAGGAAGTACAACTACATCTGAGTTCACTTTAAACATCTCTCTTCCTGTGAAAGTGCTGATAAACTACTGGAAAGAGTGAAAGTGTCACCTATCACCCAGACTTTAGTTTAAAATCTGTGTAATGGATGGAAATGTCATAATAAATATAATAAAATGTTTGCTTTCTTCTTGATAGCAAGGTATGAAAGTTAATTTCTCAGCTTTAGTGATATGATTTCCAGTGTCTTCTAACAAAAACAAACCATGTCCATCTATCTACATGTGCCAACTACTAGAATATCTAAGCAGAATTAATGTATGAATGAATGAACACACACTGAGTGCCATGAGAGGGAACACCTGCAGCCTGCTCCTCATCCTCACGTCAGCTGGGTCTCACACACGCATCACTCACGCATACAGTGCAGCATAAATGTACTGTTACTCTGTGCACAACATGAAAGGAGGAGAACTGAAGGCAGTGCTGTCTGCATTTAAAATGAGGTGTGTTTAAACTTAAGAGTCGGGCATTGCAGGACTTACAAATAAAGAAGTGGACTGCAAATGTGTACAGCGTGGATGTTCCCATTCAGTGGTATCAGGTGGACACCGATGCTTGCTTTCTTTCTTTCTTCCAAGAGGAATGACGCAAACTTCACCAACCATGAAGTCGTGTCGTGGATCAAGGAAGGCGCACGTGTCCGACGGGTTGTGTCGGGTCAAGTTGTGTCCCAGGAGAGTAAAGGGTCACGACCCGCTTTCCAGCAGCAGACAAGTTCTCGGGAACTGGGGTCGGGTTGATCTCCAGAAAAGCAGCAACTAGAGGAAGGGCAACATGCTGAAGTCTGCCTTACGCTGTCATCAACAGCTGGATCGAATTACATTTATTTGACCTGTTTTACTTTACGATCGAATCAACAGCAGGGCAGGAAGCTAATTTTAAGCTTGTCGTAGAGTATATATCATGCCATCTTTGTTTCAAATTTGTCATAATTCACCTGTTTAAAAAAAAACAAAACAAACTAAAATAAAATAAATAATCGTCTTTCATTCTTCACCCTCCAAGCGTGGAGCGCTCGTTGCAGTCTGCCTCTGTCCAAGGTGCTGACCGAAACGGCCTTTGTGAAGATTTTGGCTCAGTTTGGCTCAGATTTTAGTAATAATGACAGAGCCATCTCATTTCTGTTTTTTTAAATTACATTTTTATTAAATAAATAGGTTTCAGTCACTTTGCTGAGATACAGTTTAAAAGGGTTACTCCAAAAAGATGCATTAATACACTGTCGACGTACAGAAATTTTACATTACACGTTTATTGGGTTAATTTATGAGTAAGTCATTAAAATGACGAAATACAAAGACCTGAATACAATATGATTGTAGTAATAACTTTCAGGGACAAATTTACATTTAAATAAATAAACAAAAAAATAAAAATTATACACATTTTAGCTTATTTTCTAAAATAAGAAAAAGCACGAATCTTCTGCAAAGAGTGTGAGAACATTTTTGTTTTGTTCGCAGAGCAATTTTATTTGTAATCTGCTTGAAGTGAGATCTGTTTGCACAGCTCTGCTCGCATGTGGGGATAGAAAACTTTGAGTCCAGTAGCGGAGACGGGATTCCTCACAGTGACCCCTGATCCTCCACAGCTTGATGACTCTGGTACCATTTTGGTCCTCATCTGAGGGGAAAAAACAGAAAGAAAAAAAAGAGGACAAACGACATCAGCTGTAATTTAATATACAAAAAATAAATTGAATATTTTTAAAAAACCGCTGTATGATTTTTTTTTTGTGAACTGCTCTAAACATTTACTTTATTCTTTAACTGGTTGCATCATCTCAGCATATTGGTAACTCCTTTCAAATGAAGTTCAGGCGCGGGCTCGGTGTAGGATCAGACTGAATTCAGCCCTGTGGCCATGCTGCTGCCAGATTCACCAAATTATATATAAAGAGGCTCCTGGACAATTTAATCCCACTGGGAGACATGGTAAAGTCCTTTCTCTGCCAATTTTCACCCTCTCTCTTATTCAAACCTCCTCTTTCTTCCTGCAGCCCCACAATGCAGGATTGTGCTCTTTTTTTATGTTCTCTTATATCTTTTCTCTGTATGGCTGCCACCCCCAAACCCCTCAGACAGCATGCAGTTTATGCAAATGATCAGCCTTTCATGCTCAAAGTTGAATGAGACCTCAACAAAATCTCTCCCTTGTTCTCCCACACACACAGACACACACACACACTGCATGACTGAGTGTAAAAATACGCTCAAGTATCATCTTCAATTTTTGCATTTGATTTACCATTTTTTAAAATCTGAAATTCCTTACTTGATCCCACAGTACACCTGTGTCGTGGGGCAGGCATCTCTCTAAGTGTGGGTAGTATTTTAAAGGAGTATTTTAAATATTGGATGGATGAATTGATGGGTAACAGAGTTAGGATTTGGTTGGGGAGAAAAAGTGGAAGAAGGTTGAGAGGGGTGTGCAGGGAGTGTGTGATGAATGATGAATGTGAAATTCTCAGTGTTCCCAGGGTCTGGGTGGTGTTTGAAAGGCCGGAGGGGGCGGCTGGAGGCTGGAAGGGGGGTGATTGTGCCCAGCTGTTGAGGGGGGTATCCTGAGTCTCTCTCTTCCTCTCCCTCTCTCTCTGTCTCTGACAGGCTGTCTTTTTCACCAGCACATACCCAGGCCATCCAGCCTGCTGCCATAACAACGCCACAGCCTCTGTGTCATAGTAATGCCATGCAGTCAACGCAGAGCATGGGAGCAGGGAGAAGGAGGGAGTCCAGGAGAGGAATGAGAGGAGTGAATGAAGAGTCCAGACGTTCCTACCCCTGTGAACTTGAACTTGACTGACAGCCAAATGACGACTGGCGGGAAGAGAATGCAAAATCCACTCCTGAGAGATTTTGTCCTTTGATATGGTCAAATTACATACTGTGTATGCGTTTTAACTCACAAATAGATAAATGTTTAATTGGGAGGAAGACAGGGTTTTCATTTTTGTAATGATTATAATATGATTGGTGCATAAATTACATATGAATTGGTCATTTGCAATTATAGTACTACACGTTGGCCTCTTATAAAATAAAATAAAATAAATAAAATAATGTACATGTTAGAATAAAATAGGGACTCGTGCCTATAAATGAATCCCTGTTACAGTTACATTAATAATAGAGATCTAATATTGGGAGAAAAAATAACACATTATTTATTTAAAACATTGCCTTTTTCTTCCCTATATTACTACATGTATGAATATGGACATTTAATTATTTAGTTAACATAACAAGCTGAAAAACACATTTTGATTCTGCTAATTATAAAGCTGCGTGCATGTCAGAGATCAGGATCTTCTATGAGGAGCTGCAGCTCTCTAACCTTTTCAGTCTTTTGCTCCCTTAGAGTCAGCGCGGGGTTGATTGCTTGCCTACAGCTGATAAACGACGACTGGTCCACATCAGGGGTCTTAGCTGCTCAGACCCACTCGACCATGGGAAAAAGGCGAGCTGTGAAAGGTCCCCTGTCGCTGTTACAAAGCCAAGAACAAGCCATAGCAGGATAATCGTGTTTATCCCCAGATTAAGACTGGATCGCAGCTGCGGTATCCTTGTGGGAGGAATGGGGGCTGCAGAGATGTAAAAAGGACAATGTCCTGCCTTCAGGAGACCTCATCATCATCCTTACTATACACAGGTACTACACAGGTACTGAGGTATGAGACTTTGACTCATTCGGATCAGGCTCATTCCCCTATTAAAAAAAGTTCTACTGTGTAAAACTTTGCTTTGGTGAGAGCAAAACACAAATGAAGGTTTCTCTAATGTGAGCCATGAGAATGAAAGCTTCACTCTCACTGCTATCCTTCACTACTCTTCACTTCTCAAGCAAGCACAGCTCACCCAGACAGAGCTAACCAGAGTCTAATCTGTGCGTTGTTTTCGAGTATTGAATTTGACACATGGCAACATAAACTGATCAACCAATAAACTGATCATCAAAGCCCTCAAAGACAAACTAAATGGGCCAGCTCAGACTGTCTTTCCAGTTGTCCAGTATGTTTCTCTCATTTGTATCTCTGTGTCGTCTTCGTTTGCTGTTTTGCTGCCAGTTTATACATTTCTGCAATGAATCGTTGCAATCTTTCCATTACTGCTAAGATTTTGGGTTTTTGCTGGGATATTTGTAGTGTGTCATGTGCTGCTTGTTAAGGCATGTTAGGCAAGATTTTTCTTAATCGTTCTTTGGGAAATTAAGACTCATGACACATGACCACATTCACAATTCAGTTTGTGATTCGCAATAGTTCAGGCGTAAGACAGTGCATTAATTATATGCTCACAGCATGAAAGTCAGTGTCAGACATAAAGAGGGAGGAAGACAAAAGGACAACTTCTACCAGAGACACTGTTATGGCTGCTGTGCTAATGCAAGCATCTGCCACTGTCTAGTCTTGACTGTTGTTCCCACCACAGGGTTTACTGCAGCAGCCTCTCAAATATACAATGTTGGGAGGGGGACAAAAAAAAAGAAGTGGTGGACCTTTGTGAAATACTCCTTTCACAAAGCAGCCATTGTGGAGAGAAGGCAGGATCAGAATTATAATGTGGAGCCTGGTCACTGTTTACCAACAGGCCAACAGGTCTCCTGCAGCTGCACTGTCCACCACCGACATGCAGACTGCACTGTGTTTGTATGTACATGTGCACGGGTGCACATTAAAGCCTTTTGTGTTTATCCATTATACCCCTGAGTGCAGTCAAACAGCACTTTTCCAATAAAATACATTTCAGGAATGACTTTTTTATACGAGAAATATTTTTGAATTCACTATACAGTTATTGTGCAGAATGGCAGCAGGTAAATAATCAAAGATGCAGTCACAATTCCTTGCCCTTCCAGATGTTTAGCTGTTTTCTGGACCCAAAGCACATTAAACCCAGCGTAACCTTACTGTATGAATTTAAAATTTAAACAAAGATCCAGACATAGAAATTAGAGAGCTGAATGCTTCTTGAAAAGCTGATAATGAGGATTTAAAGCGTGTGCTGTGTGTTGCTAGTCACGCAGTATTCCAGTGTGTCAGCATTTATAATTACCCAGCTTTGCCCTCACCCCCAACCCTTCCAGTTGAATGTCTAATTACAACATGTAATAAAGGGACAGTTCCCCTTTTACTTGTTCAAGCCACAGCCTCTGGCTATTAAAACCAGTATTTTGGCATGACAGAGAAAAAAAAACTATAGAAAAAACTAAGAAGCACATGGAGGACTGCCAGCCAGCAAGAATCTGAAAGACAATTTTTTAAATCTAAAATAATCTAAAATAGCATTTTCTCAGCATCTAGGCACAATAAAAATTTAGCTGAACTTTTATCTAATCTAATTATTATTATTGTTATTATTATTATTATTATTTACTACAACTTCAAAAATATTTAGGACAATAAAACAATCTTTATATTAAATGTAAGCATAAAATTATATTAACGTGTTCAGAATCGCTCTGTCTTTGCATTGCTGGGTGGAGCTCGTAGGTGGTGCTGTGCCTTTAAATGGGCCTACTCGCTTTTACACCCAGTTTTGATGCAATTATGTTAATATGCAGAGCTTGTCTGCGTCCTATTCATTATCTGCTAGAAATGCGTGATTGTTTTCTTTATATTACAGTCAGGGTCTTCATGCATGCCGTGATCCAACAGGGAGCTGTAAGGTGGGTTATTGGGTGCACGGTTTATTCTCCTTTAAAAAAAATAAATAAAAGGAAAATATATTTTCTAAGTACTACATAAAAAAAAATCTAATTGCCAAGACTGATTTCCTTTTTTCATAGTCTAACTATTAAATCTTATGTAGGTCACCGGACGCAGTTCAGCCCACTGACAGACCTCGACTTAAACCTGGGCCTAACGTTAATCTCTTTCCGTTCATCAGCATCACGGCAGGAAACGGAAGGCTGGAGGAAGCATTTAAACATGTTTGAATACAGCGAGTTAGAAGAAGGAAGGTTTAAAAATAAAAAGGTTTAAAGGTGGAGGAAAAAACGAAACGTGTATGTCGAAAAAGGATGTAAGTGTAAATGCATATTAACCCTTCAGCTGTATCCTTTTTTTTTTTTAAATAAAAGGGGGCAAAGGTTAATTTAAAAACTTGATTCCTTTACAAATAATCATTCTTTTTGAAATAACAAAAACGTAAATCAGTGTTTCGTTTTCCAGGTCACAACTGCATGTTTTTGTCTTTTACACCAAAAATAATTAAACAAGCAAACAAAAAAAAAAAAAACCCATAATAATTAATGCATCCGTTATTAATGGTCTAAAGGAGTTTTACCAAAACAAGACGTTTGCCATACCTGGCGTTTTGGTTTCTAATTTTCTACTTGCAGATGTCATTAAGCAGCTGATCTCTATTTGAATTTAAAATGATTACTATTGAGCTAAAAAAAAGAAAAAAAAAGAGGAAATATAAGCTAACATTCTGCATTTTTACTTTCATTTAAAAAATATTATTTATAGTTTACTTGTATTTTTTTTGTATTTTAAGTGAATGATTTGTTTTTAAAGGAGGCCTAACAAATAAACTCAATACTGAAAAAAAGGAAATTACAAATAAATTTTATATATTTCATTTCAAACTTTTTTTGCTGACTAGCTTTTATGGGAAAAGAATTAGGCATAAACAGGTAACAGGTAGTCACTCTAAACTGCTTCAATAACCTTAAAATGTCAAAAGTTTAGAAAATGTTGCACACAATAACACGGTGCTGTTACTTACATTAAGGTTTTAGCTTTTGAGAAGCATTTTTCTCCTTTGTGCTTTGCTTCGGTAAACTTGGGACAATTGTAGGAATTTTTACTTGTTTTACTTGTTTCACCACCTGCAGAGTCACAGAGATGCAGGTTCCCTCTCAGCTTTAATATAATCAAATGTCATGAGGTTTTTTTTCAGCCACTGACTCAATGACTTTCTCCCGCTCTGTTCAATTACAGCAGCAGTTAGAAGTGCAGTGACTCACAGAACGACCTTCAAAAGGCCACAGAAACGTGACCTCAGTGATTTGCTACATCTCTGTTAAGTGAGAGCACACCAGAGGTGACAGTTAAGACAGGAAGGCGTAAAGACGGCAGTGATTTGTATCTGACGGACGGCTGATGATGGACCACATTAATGCGGCTATACTTTCTGCTACACATCCATTTTAAACGCAGCATTGAACCTCCGTCTAGATGACTCCCAAAATACAAACATCCCCACGTACTTAAATTTGAGAAGGAGGCCTCTCATTTAGTGAAATCCCTTTATTATAACCGTGCTTTTAAAAATATAACCTTTTGACACAAATACATGGGTGCTAATCCTTGGAAAGACATAAGCTAACACTTGTGATTTCTCTCCTGGATCTTAACTGTTCTGACCAATTTAAGGAATCTGGGAATTTATTGTTGGTTTATACTGTGATAAGTAAAATACACAGTCTGCTGAACAGAGTCAAGGCAAAATAATATCAATTTTCTAATTTTTAAAGCTAAACTGCATTCAGCTTTAAAAATGAAAACATTTAAATGTAATAGCATTTTTTTCAAGACAAAAAGCACGACTTGTATCTCAACAGTCTCATTATGCTTACTTAAGGTTTCAATCACAGTAACATAAACATTAACATGAGGTAAAAATAGTGTTTTAAATTTGACAACATGAGGCCAAATTCTTCTGTTATACAAAGAAATGTCATCAGTGTGTTTCTAAAGGAAGTCTGTGGTAGGAAAAATCATTCATTCATGTACAACAAAGGCCCCTTGTAAATTCTTTCTACTTTCAGAAATATTTAAGTGACCCCGTGAGCTTATTATTCCCGGATCACTTCATTAAAGCAACCTTCAGAAAAGTTCAGTGTTAGAATTTATTAGAACAAATGCTTTAATTTCTGGGATTCTGTGTATTTGATCATGAGGCTGATAACTGTTGTGGACAGATGCAGCAAAAACACCTTATTTTGAAAAAAGCTTTTTCAGTTTACTGATAAAATATTTACCCAACATTTTCACAACCATTTTCTAAAACCTAAGACAATGTGTTCATTGTGCCAGTCTTTTTCTCACAAATAGGAAGGAAGAGGCACTTTTGATTGAAGAATAGTCAATAAGTAAAACCTTACTGTATGCATTTTCATAAAGAATCTGTGTATTATTAAACCTAATGCACACACATAACCTACCTGAAAAGACAACATGTCCTCCTTTTGGAGTTTTTCTTTCTTTTCTTCTTCTTTTTTTCTTAATCTCATAAACAAGAGGCTGAGGATTTGGAGGTCATTCCTACTTTCGGTTATCTAGCTTTATGATGCATGATTATCACTCATACAGCTAGATAACCAAAGACAGGAACAGGCTCCGTCATTAGCGACAACAGCAAAAGGTAAGTCCGAGGCTTTCTGGGAACAAAGAAAAATGATTTGGTATTTATGCAAGTTTAGCTTCAGGTTTCACTTCAACACCATCGAATGATGATTTCTGTTTTTGTTTTTAATGTTTTTAAATCAGATATGTCAATCCCAAATCTCCATAACTTCCCCAAAACTAATTAAACCATTTTAATATCTCACCGGTCTGTCAGTCACCGAGATGATACTCCAATTCTAGAGCCTAAGCACCAAAATACACATGAAAAATAGATGTGGGGTGACAAACTGCACAGTAGCTGTTCCTGTTGTGCTTTAAGGTGCAACTTCACAGCTGTGTAGCCTGTGTGACTGTTTGTGGATTCTGTGCTCCTTCTCACACTTTGCAAACAAACCCAGATCATCAGAATTCATCAAACTCCACTGCTTTAACGTTTCATTAAAGCCCATCTTCCACAGCAACACCTTAGGAATCTATCAAACATGTATGCTAGACATTATTATTATTATTATTATTAGTAGTAGTAGTAGTAGTAGTAGTATCTGCCTTTCGGTTATTTTTACAGCTATATATGATGAGTATTGTTATTATAGGTATTCTAATGGTGCCACTACATCTTTGGTCACAATGCAAGAGCACCCTGTCATATATTTATATCTATTTCAAAATTATTTTGTTAAATATTTGACTCAAATCAACCTCGTGATGACCTCACGTTTTTCCCCTGTACGTCTGACGTCAATATTTTTAATTGGGAAATAGATGCACCGACAAGACGTGCGTCATTTTCTAACGCACACAAATATTAACACTTGTATATATGTGTATATAATTTAAAATATTAAAAAGGCAATAGCAGGTTTCATAGTGTGTTTTTTTTTTGGGGGGGGGGGGGGGGGGTTCATAAATTAAAAATATATATATCACTGTATGAGTCAAATTGCCTTCAGTGGCCTGGACGGTGTGTGAAAGGCTTCTGGCCTGCATAAACACTGCTTCTCTGTCACAACTAATGTTTTGCCCTTGTTATATGAGTTAAGGCACAGGTAACTGGGTTACTCATGTACCATTTTAATGTTGTTCTCTTGCAAACTTGTTATAGAAGCCAGCACACATCGTTATCTATTGGTCATGGGTTTGACGGTGAACTTGAGCATGTCACGTTAAATAAACGCCGACAATATAACCATAAATGTGTCAAATGTCAAGTCTGCGCCCTCAGATCGAGGCGCATTTGTTGAAGGTGGAATGATCTGTGGAAACTAGTCAAGCCTACCCTAACCACAATACTCACTTCTTGAGATGCCTCCTGCGTTCGTGGAGACCAAAACATCCACATGTGGCAAAGAGGGGCGGCCAGCGTCGCATCATCCGGGCTCCAGATGTTTAGAACATGGAAATGAGTTTCTGTACAGCCTCGCTTCGACAAACAGGTGAGCGCGTGGATCAGATCGATAAATCCCACGCCATCTGCCGAGCCTGCGCAGACGGCTGTGGATGAGACATCCTCGTCGTGCCGTGTGCTTGTATCCGAGATCAGGACGTTCCCGGGTCAGTGCCGTGATCTCCGTGGGACCGACAGAGGAGCGACACGCTTTTCATCAACAGCGTCCAAAAGCGCGCATCATCAGTCCGCGGTCCTGAAGCTGCGACGTGTCCCCTGACAGACACTTCAGTGCTCTCATCTCGCCTCCTCTCTTTTTTTCTCAATACTTCCTCCTCCTTTTGCTGACGTCACGCGGACAGCAAGTTGCCGATAACCAATCGCAAACTCTCTCTCTGTGCGTGTGCGTGTTTTTGGAGAACTCACGAAAACATCACGTCGCCGTTGCGCTCTTTTAACTGTGGAAGTGGAAACCGAACCAGCAAAACAAAACTTAAAAAAGAAGAAAAAGAAGCAGAGAGCACGTTGTTGCTGGCTAAAGTAAAAAAAAAAAAAGAGTAGTTACAATGTTTTGTTATTATTATTACATAAGTTTAGTTTTCTTATCTCGTTCAGCTTGTTGTAGCCATATCGCTCCTGGGTGGTGTCGGTGTTGTTAGTCATCTATTATTGTTATTTTTTTTTAAAGATGTGTTAGTAAAACAGGAAATCATCTGTGACACGTTTGAAGCCGGTGTTGGCACATGCTTTTCTTTTTTCTTTTCCCTATATTATCAACGGCTCCCCACTAATTAAAACCATCATACAGATCTAGTCAGTTTCTGACTTTAACGCCACCCAGCGGTAGCAAAATCAACTACAACGCTGTGGCAGACAAGCAATACCCCACGTCCATCATGTGATCTCTTACTCTCTTACTTACTTTTACTTACTTTTCCACTGATTTTCAAAGGTGGGAAAAGGAAACACGTATTGTTTTCTTATCGCATCACAAAAATACAAAAATGTAACGCAAACTCATTCGGACCAACTCACATTTACAGCTGAATATTTTTATTTATTTACTTATTTTTATGAGAAGAGGACACAAAATCCCCCCAGCTTTTCCTCAGATACACACCTTTTTGCTAATGGTGTCCTGAAACAAGGCTATTTATTTATTTATTTATTTTTTCATATATAATATAGTTATTTTCAAGCCACCACTTGCCCCTTCTCTATCATGCCTGTTTTTGAAATTAGAATGAGTAAGAATCTGATGTTTGATTAAATATTTGAATTTTAATTATTAATAATTAGATGTAGATCAGATTTTCCATCAGATTTTCCATTGGGCTCTTTTCCATTGATTGATTACTTGTTCCTTTTGGACTTGCGAAAGTCAGCAACACAACACAACACAAACACATACATGCTAATGTGTTTTTTCTTTTTGCTCTCTCTCAGAAGTCAATGACTTTACGAAGAACCAGTTTCTGAGCCCAGAGGGGAAAACAGTCCACAGAGATGAGACTTGAAAAAGTACAGAGATGTTCAGTCCACATTTCAGATTTGAGGTTATACTGCCTTCTAGTGTCCATCCAAACTCTCATGTCCCAGATAGTCTCCATTATCTTTCATGTGTTCCTCTGTATCTAACAGAAGAGAGAAAAAGATTGTGTTCATTAAAAAGTGTAGAGAAAGAGAGAAATGGGAGAATATTGTGAATGACAATATGTAACCACTGCCCTAAAGTGTGGTACCTTTTCTCTTACAGGTGGGATTTGGCACCTGAAGACACAGATCTTCAGACTTTTGTATTTAAGAGTAATTTTTCATTGTGAACAGATGTGCACTTTTAGGCTGTGTATAATAATAATAATAATGCAGTGTAATGCATCTTTGAAAACCATGAAGCAAAGTTTTACCTGGAATCTGGCTTCTTTGTCCTCAGCAAATTATGCTAATTAAAACATAAAATGATTTTTCTTCTCTTATCAACATCAGCTTTGCTAAGATTCATCCAATAATTTAACATTCAGAACATGCAAACGTCACTCCAAAATGATTGTTTTACAAGTCCTTAAAGTACAGCTACACATATTCAATGTAATTTAGTTTAATTGCTAAAAATTCATTTAAAAAAGCCCCATCAGCGTGCTTTATACTGCAAGGTCGAGATTTACAAGATTAGAGATAAATCTCAAACAATTAGACAATCCAGTATCTGCGAGCAGCGAATGCATTTTAAATTCATTCCTGGATTCAACACAGAAGTGAAGCTGATATACAACAAATATGTTGCAGGAGTGTTTAGAACAAATGGGATCAGTGACATTCAAGCCTAGAAGTTAAAAATACACAAACAAGTTTTTCTGCTTTACTGGTGATGGGACGTTTCTAATTTTAGGTATGCTGCACAGATGAAAGAATGTAGTTCTACTTTTTTGTTTAATGCACACCTTGAAGGACATGCTCTGGTCAAAAATGACTAAGATTCTTCATAATGCTACTGGAGAGCAGATACTGCATCTAAGTAAGACATGTTTCTGAGATTTCTAGGTCAAAACACAAAAACCTCAGCTTTATCAGAATTTAGAAGTAAAAAATCACACATCACTGTATTTCCTAAGGGAAGCATCTATAATATAAAAAGCATGAGTCCCAGAACACAACTCTGTGGAACTCCATGACTTGTGCTGCAAACATTTTTCTTTAATCGTTCTTTAATAATAGTTCCTGTCTCTATAGTAATTGGTGTAGTCAGTGTTATCAAATGTTTCACCTGTCAGAGGCTATAGGAAGATCAGTGATAACCTTCAGTAGTGCTGTTTCTGTGTTGTGATGGACTCTAAATCCTGACTCAAACTTAAAATGCACTATTTCTCTGAGGTAATTTATTCAAGGTTTGACATCTGTGGACTTGAATTCAGTACAAAAGAAAATAAGAAACATGAGCATAGAAGGCAAAAACCTTTTAATATAAAATATTCAAGAAAGTCAAAAGACTACATCATCAGAGAAAGACAGAATCTCGTTTTGTAGGGATGAAATGAGCCATATTGTTAGACCACATACCTACCATCTGTATGACATGAAAAACTTAGTGGAAAGTGCTTTGTATCAAAATCAGTGGGTGTTCATTATTTAAAGTACAAAATTCACATAAAAAAAGCTAAAAGACTGACAAAGCAATAAAACCTTTCAGCGACCACAGAGCAAAAATACATGCGAATTACATGTTACATTTACTTTCAGACAGGATTCTTTCGCACATCTATTAATGCATTGTTTGAGGTCAGTGGTCCAATGTTGAGGCTGGAGCGACGGGACTCCCGGCGAGATTTAACCACAGGCAGGGATGTTGGCCCACTCCAAGACCCCACAGCAGTTTGACCTACACGTTTAACAGGGCCATCACTGGCCACCTGAAGCCACAGCTCCTCCATGATGGCAGGTTCCTCCGTTGGGAGAGAAGAGCGCCTCCACGTGGACGGGAGAGGGGTGTTCACCAGCTCCCGCATTTCCTCCCTAGACTTGGA